GGAAGCAGGTTTTACCTCCCTAAGCCTCAATTTCCTCATCTGTAAGGTGGTTAATAATTGCACCTACCTTACAGTGTGACTGGTAGAGTTATATATAATTTCTGGTAAGTGCTTAGCACAGTGCTTTAACATAGTAAATGCTCAGTGAATGTTAGCTCTTATTATACAGTGGGGACTATCGGCCCCATTAGAGGAAGGTCAGACCTAAAATCAGAGTTGTGCTTCATGGTTGGATTTTAAAGTCCTCATGGTCCAGTTTTAATTACCGGTAACAACGACAGTAGCAAACATTTAATGCTATAACATTTAATAATAAGAGCTAGCTTTGTGCTTGGCGCTATGCTTAGTGTTTTGGAGTCATCACTTCTGTTTTTTTTTTTTTTTCTTTATGCCTCTCCCCCAATTCTGCCCCTGGTGTGTATGTGTATATATATATATATAGCCCACAAGGCTCCTCTGTCCATGGAATTCTCTAGGCAAGAATACTGGACTGGGTAGTTGTTCCCTTCTCCAGGGGATCTTTCCAACCTAGGGATTGAACCTGGGTCTCCTATATTGCAGGCAGACTCTTTACCATCTGAGCCACTAGGGAAGCATATATATATGTATACATACACACAATAATTTTGTTTTTTGTTTTTATTTTCCCTTGGTGTATTTACATGCACAGTCTGGCAAGATATGGGGTGAATCTTGGGCTCCAGAATACGAAGTCTTTGGAAGAATTATTTGCAAGTTCATGACAGCTGCAGATCAGAGCCACGTCTAAGCAGCTCTGGCTGTAAAAATACAACACTCTAAACAGGTGGTGGAAGATTTTAAATAGAATGAACTTCTCATGGCAACATGACTGCCCCCAGGAGGGGGGGCCCTTCTCCCTGCAGGACAGAAAGGAGCCAGGAAAGAAATTAGGCTGAAATAGAATTTTGTGAATGTTGGCAAGTTAGCAAGTACAGCCACACTGACACTTGGGGCCTATACACATAAATTAAATAAGTGATGTTTCCAAATGTAAGTGTCTAATTTCTGGAAGTCACTGCAATGGTTGTGATGAGGTCTCCAGGAGAGAGTGTCTACCTGTGGTCCAGGAGATTTTTCTTAGTCCATTCGTACTTATTCCAGAGAACTTCCAAAATAAAACAAAATCACTCTCTCCTAAAGTTACAGGCACTCAAGTTCCCTCTGATTAAAACAAATAACAGCAGAAGGTTAACTGTGACTACACCTATGTGTGTGTGTCAGGGGTGGGGTAGTATGGATATTCATTGTGCTCATCTCTCAACATTTCTGGATGTCTGAAAAATGTCATTATAAAACATGTTGGAAAAAAGGAAAATAACAGATTACCAGAAAAATAAAAGAACAGAAGTAATCTCATAGAAAGAAAAACCCAGTACTTTAACTGGAACACATTTACCTTTATGAAAAATTCACTTCTTTTATACACTTTTCTCACTTTCCCATGGAGGATCAAAACCCCCTGGGCATCCACTTGAGATCCAGCAGTGGGGATCCCTGTTCTGGAAAGGCAGCTCGTGGGGTGGTGGGTTGAGAGGATGAGTTTGGGGTAAGTGACCTTGTTTGTGTTCTATTCCAGACCTTGCTGGCTTTTGCTCACCCAGTGACTGTGGACATGCTACTTCAATTCTTGGTGCCCCATTTACCTCCTCTGTAGAAACTGGACTGATAATCATGGAATCAGGTAAGTGACTTGGCCACTGTCACACACAGCTTGCAAGTGACAGTAACCGAGTTTGGTTCCCAGGATAAATGATAGGAAAGCCTGTCACCAAAACTCTCCCCCATCTCCACATAACTCTAGGTCTTGGTTGGAACTGCTCTCAGAACCCTCATCATTCTTTGTCTGTTGGTTTTATTCTAACTGACTGATTTCTGGATGCAAGAGGTATTTCATTTTTCTTGACTTTTCTAAGAGATCTAATACAATTTTTTGTTACCCGTGAGTTTGAATGAATGATCGAAATACAAGAACACTTTCTAACTAAGTCCACATTAACCAGGATGGTTTTCCCTGAGAATCCTGTTCAATATTCTTGCTTATTAATTATAGCAGGTTTGCAGAATTGTTGGGGCATTTGTGTATCTGAAGGGAAAGGAAATGACCATCATCCTAGTAATAACAATGAACTAAAGAAATGTGGCTCTCAGGAACGTTACAATGAAACTTGTGCCCACTGTATGAGTAATGCCAAATTGCTTTCGGCAGAAAACTTACCAGTCTTCTGTTTGTAAATTGTCAGTTATCGCAGAAGTCAGAAAGAAAACTTCAAATGTAGAAATCCTTGTCTCAAATTGGGTTTTAGCCCTAAAATTGTGGGTAATAGCACCATCTGGTGTGTAGTTGTATAACCACACAGTGAATTTTTTTTTTTAATCAATGTAATAATCAATTGATTCAGCTGGCTTTACAATAAGAAACCATTCTTTAGGCTTTTGTTAAGCACATGCTGAGGATCTTGGCTCATTCCCAAGCTTAAGACTCTGCAAACCCATAATAATCTTTCAAGCTAAACGGGGTTCACTTTCTGACAGATCCCAAGTCAAGATCACATCCAAGCTGAAGTCCAAGGGGAGCAGAACTATGAATAAAGGAAGCTAGTAAGGAAACAGGAAAAAAAAAAAAAAGCTTGCCCATGAACACAAAGCAGGAACAAGAGACTGTGAAACCCATGAGAGAAAAAATCAGGCTTGTCCTTGGGCTCCTGCAGGTCATGACAGTATTCTAATTTAGCTCATTTACATCCTGATCATAAACTTTTGAGTGAGTCTCTGCTGCTTGCAATCTAATAAGCGTAACTAAAACAACATTAGTTTCAGTGAAGTCCAAAGACTTAAATAGTACAAAGACTTTAGTCCAAATGCTAAATCTCACTTGCTTAATTGCACAATTCCCCAAATGCCTGAATGTCTTTCTTCATTGACCTCTGATCAAGGCCAACAGAGGCAGGAAGAGAGGAATAAAATGAGGTCATTATAACCATTTGGGACCATGATGGGTAGTCTGGGCCACCCAGCCAGACTTGTCAGCTCCTGTCTTTCACATAAGGATGGTCCAGGAATTAGAGAGGCAAATGGCCTCAGATGATGCTAGAGAACTCAGCAATCAGAACTGGTAGGATCTAGATACCACCTCGTGAATCTCTGGCCAGAAATGGGCTCTTAAATGCCTTCAGTAAATCTCATCAAATCATCAAATCAGCATTTGATTCACAGGCCAGTAACTTCCAGATTTTCTGTCAGTGCAGATCAGCCATTCTTAACTCCAGGAACAACTGGCAATGCCTGGAGACATTTTTGGTTGTTGCAGCTGCAGGAAAGGAGATGCTACTGGATCTAGTTGGTAGAGGACAGAGCTGCTGCTAAACATTCCACAGTGCACAGGAGAACCCTGCAACAAAGAATTATGGGATCCCCAAATGTCAGCAGTGTTGAGGTTGAGGAACCCTGGTGTACGTGGCAGAGAAACCTAGAGGAAGTTTTAAAGTGGTAGGAAGAGCAGAGGTTCGACCGAGAAGTTGAGAACCCTGCCAAGGGGAGTACTACCCAGCTTGGAGAAGACACCAGACTATATCACCATCTGTGGAAGATGCGAAGTCAAGGGCAACAGGTGCCAATAGAGGATCCGATGAGGGAAACCTGAGATAAGTCTAAGCAGCAGGTCCTTGAGAAGCTGAGCTATAGATGATGATTGCAGAAACTGAGGCTAAGGAGATTGATTCTATTCATCCCCTTCCTCACCACTAAGGGATCTGGGGATCTAATTCCCTATTCACATCAAAGGAATAAGTTGGCTTGGGTGACAGGGGTAAGGGGTTAAACTGGGATGAGCAGAAGCGGTCAGATTAATAGTAGCTCACATAAATGTACAGGGATTTGGAAAGAGTGATGTGGTGATGGACCTGAGATGGGATAGTGGGTCTGTGAAAACCAAAACGTGCTTACCTTAGGTTAGCTTTCAGTTGGGTAACTTCCCAGGAAAGCAAGTCTCTCTCCTAAAGAGCAGGCAGAGCAGGAATCCCAAAGCAACATCAGTTCCAAGACTTGAAGATAAAAGTCCTGATAAAAGGATTTGAAGAAAAAAAATAAAACTCTCTTCTTCCCATTTTCCTCACTTTAAAACAAGTGGAGTCTTGCATTCTTCTGTAAACTAGGGCCAGAGAAATCACAGTCAGATTTCCCTGTAATGTTCAGCTTAGGAGCAAGTTCTAAGCAGGGAATGTCCTGGAAAAGTCTATAAACGGCAGGCATTTGTAACCAACAGAACCATGCTGGAACTGGAAGAAACGTCTCCAGGACTGGGGCATCAACAGGTGCGTGGGAATTTGCTTTTTTATAGCGTGGTATAGCGTTGAGTTTACACGCATAACAAAATCTGTGACTCAGGCTGGGAAAGCTCTGGAAGGTTTCTGAGCAAGACCCTTCACTTCCTGCCGTTAACACCACACAGGCAGCGTACTCTTAGAAAGCCAGCATCACCTGCCTCCTCCCTTTCCCGCGCGGTGTGCTAGTCCGGCCAGCTCCGGGACTACATTTCCCAGGATGCCCAGTGGCGGGAGCGCCTGCGGGATAGGCCAGAACCACGCGGAAGTGATTACGGGTCGCCCGGCAACGGGGGCGGAACCCTGGCTCGGGATTGGATGCTCACGCCCCCGGCCTGGGGCGGGGCGGGGTTAGGAGCTCGGCCCCGCCTCCGGAGCAACGGGGCGCTCGCCGGCTTTTACTTCCAGCCGAGCGGCCGTGCGCGCCGCTTCGCTCTTCCCCCTGCATTCTCCCGAGGCCCCGCCCTCCTTTGCTCCGGCAGCTGCGAAAGTGCGGGCCCCGGATTCGGCGGCCCGGGCGGCCGAGGGGTCCCGGGCGGCGCGGTGCGCAGGCGCGAGCGTGCGGGGCGCGCGGCGCGCGGTTGAAGCCGGAGTGAGTTCCTGGGTGCGGAGAGCCGGCGGCCGGCGGCCGGCGGGCGAGCGACCGCTTCCCCCGCAGCCATGGCAGCCCTACGCTATGCGGGCCTGGATGACACCGACAGCGAGGACGAGCTGCCCCCGGGCTGGGAGCAGAGGACCACCAAGGACGGCTGGGTTTACTATGCCAAGTAAGGGGGGCGTCTGGGGCGCGCGGAGGACCCTGACCGCTCCGCGCCCCGGGACGCGCGCTGCCTCCGGACCCCTGCCCGCGCGGGGAAGGCCTGCGCTGTGAGGGCTGCCGGCCTCCTGAGGACAGGCCCCATCCTGCTTTCTGGCCCTGCTGTCCAGCGTGGGGTCACCTGGCGGCGCCCAGACACGCCCTCTGCTGCCCAGGAGGCGGCAGTGCCCGGCGGTGCGAGGATGCATTCGCTTGCATCTCCTTTCCCCAACATCAGAAAAAATGAGCACGCTCCGCTCCTTCTCAGGGGTCTAGAAGGGCCGCCTGGGAGCGTGTATTTGCAACAGACGTCATAGTAGAGCTGTGTGTGTGTGTGTATGTATGTATGTAAGCATGTATATGCCTGTATATAAAATGTAGCTAATACAGCTTTACTGTAGTTCTCGGGAAAGTTTCGAAAGCCTCAGGAGGCCCTCTCTCTCGCCTCTTACTGTGTGCCCTTGGGCCGTGGGAATAACTCTCACGGGTTACTCATCTGTTAAGAGGTTGGTTGGAGAGTTTTAGTTGAGGCCTGAACAAACTCTGCCAGGTCGTACTCTTGGCAGCTGACAGCACCGTCTCGGCCTGACACTAGAATCACTTGAGGACCGTCATAACTGTAGATTTGGGGTCTCAGTAGACACCCCACGTAGGGACTGTCTTTCTTTTTTAAGCTTCCAAGCTAAGGCAGGTTATGGCTTTGAGAAACACGGAAGTAAATCAGTGATTTTCTACTCTTGGGAAACTGACCGGGCTCTGCTCCCGGCTTTCACCAGCGGGTGATTCTTCTCTCTTCATTTGCTTGCTCCGCCTCCCGTCCCTACTGGTAGTTTGTGAAATCTTTCCCAGGTGAATTTGATCTGCCCTAAGTTGTGAGCCACGCTGGCTGCCTTTGGTGGCTTTCTAGCAAGAAAAGCAGGAGGAAAAGACCTTGCTTCACTCTTTGAAGACACGTTGGGAAGGTATCCTGCGCCAGGCCCTTTGCTGGCCGCTTGTTTTACTGAGATAAATGAGACCGCTTGGTGGGACTTACACTTGGTGGTCCAGTGGTTAGGACTAACATCCTGCAAGATGCCTGTTGTGGCCAAAAAATAAAAAAGGTGGTCCTCACACAGTGTGTGTGATGAGTGGCAGTGTGCCCAGCATGAGCTGTGTGGGCAGGTGGTGAGGTGCCCGGGGTGGTTGGCCCCTGAGCCCTTTCTTAGGGCACAGGTAGAAGTGGGCGGGTGTAGGGGCAGCTCGGGTAGAAGAGACCGAGGCCCGGCCTGTGCCGTGGTGGTGCAGGAACCGGAACCCCAGTGAGGAGGAAGGGCCCTGCTGTGCCTCAGAGGAGCTGGGCTCCACGGTCAGGACCCCGGGGTCCACTGAGGCCTTGCGGCCAGGCAGTGAGCTCGGCTGTGTGTCTTTAGAAGGACGATTTCTGCTCTGAAGGACGGGAGGGAACCAGGGCTCCGGGCGGCTCCTGGATGGGCATTGGCTGTTGCCGTGGCCTCTGCCTGAAGGGCTCTTTGATGCCTCGGAGCTGACCTTCAGCGTCTCTGCCCACGAGGGCGTCCTGGTGCACCGGCCCTGCCCTCTCCCCCCAGCACCTTGAGCTCCCCTCTCCGTAGTTCTCTGCACTCCACTCGGCCATGCCTGCTGTCTGTCCCTGCCCAGACTGTCCGCGTCGTGGAGGCAGGGGCCGTTCCTCGTCCCCTCCGTCCCCCGTGCTGAGCATCACGGAGGTGGAAGACCAGTCCACGGGGAGTAAGGAAACGAGCTCATCAGGCAAAGGCCTCCTGGGCCTCCCTGGGCGGGTGGCCACAGCCTTCTGGGCTGTGGAGATGCACGGGGCCTGCCTCCTGGCTTCCGGGTCCTCCCTGCTCTGGGTCGGGCCTGTCCCCATTCTGGCCTCTGTCCCCAGAGCTCCCTTTCAGCTTTCACCTGGGGCCTCATGCTCGGTCTGGAGGCTCCTGTGTCTGTGGTCACTCTGCTCTCTCCCTGAAAGGTTGTTGCTGAGCCGTGAAAGATGCCAGGATTCTTGGCCTTTGGAGGAGAGGAATTCAGAATTCAGGAATTCAAGCGGCCAGTGATGCCGCTTGATAACTCAGAGCTTTTGTGTGATAAAGTTTTATTAAAGTATAAAAGAGACAGAGAAAGCTTCTGACATAGACATCAGAAGGGGGCAGAAAGAGTGCCCGCCTGCTAGTCTTTAGCCGGGGGTTTTATGTCTGTTAGAAGCTATTAATCAGATAAGTAGCTCAGACAGTAAATCATCCGCCTACAATGCAGGAGACCTGGGTTCGATTCCTGGGTTGGGAAGATCCCCTGGAGGAGGGCATGGCAACCTACTCCAGTGTTCTTGCCTGGAGAATCTCATGGACAGAGGAGCTTGTTGGGCTACAGTTCAGGGGGTCACAAGAGTCGGATACGACTTAGCAACTAAACCATCACCAATCAGATAAGGGAGACATCTCAAGGCTGAGGGAGTTTCACTAGGCCCCTCTTCCACAATATGCATTTTTGAGATAGGATGGCATGAGGTGTTCATCCCCCAGCCAGAAAACAATTGATATGAATACTGGTTTGTTTGAACTATTATCAGCCCAAGGTTTGAGAAAAGAAAAAAAAGTTAGGCTTAGGTGGAACCATTTTGAAGAAAGGCAAATTCCAACTCAAGTGCATAGTTTCATTAACATAGCTTAAGAAAGACATTTCGTAAGAAAAACGCATTGGTGAGCTCAAGGTTTGAGAAAAGTTAAGTTCAGGTGGAACCAGGTGGTGGTGTGGCACCACAGAATTTTAAGAGAAAAAAATCTGACACTTGTAGTTTGTTTCCTCCTGCCGCTTAAGGGAGAGAGAAAAAATGTCTGCTACTTGCAGCCTCTTCCCCCCATGTGGGGACCCCTGCCTGCCTGCCCATCTGCCTCTCACCCCCTGCGCCTCGCCTTCTGCTGGGTGGCCTCTCCCTCCGCTTCCTTCCTGGAAGGTCTCCACCTCCTTCGCTCAGTAAGGCCTGCAGGCTCCCGCCGGCTCCACTGAGGGCTTCCAGGAGCCCACGGGTGGGGGACTCCGTGGTGCCTGTGTGGTCCCTGGAAGACACCCCAGGGCCCCCCAGTGGTGTTTGCCCTGTTGACACTGACTGGGGTGATAGAGCTTGGCAGGCTCCCAGCTGGGGTGGTGGGTGCCTCTCTCCAGATGCTCTCCTCTCCTCCCAGCCCTCTGGTCTTTGCTCGGGGTGAAGGATGCCCAGAATGACCCCGGCCCTGCATTCCCAGCAGTCCCCCTGGGCTCTGCCGACCTGCAGGCACCCTGAGCCTTTGTTCACTCCCAGTTCTGGAAAGTCACTTGTCCCTCGGGATTTGGGGAACCTGACCGATCTCTCAGAAGGTTGCCCTCGGAGTCCTTCCCTTTGCCCAAGGCCTTCCTCCCACTCCTGTGGGGTGCCCCCCACCCCAGCCAAGGACTGAGGCCGCAGCTCCCAGCCTGACCTCTGGGGTCTCGTGGGAAAGCCCCTCGCAGCCTCGCTCTTCCTTTCCCGTGTGGGTTCTGTCAGCCCCTCGGCCTCCCAACTAGCAGACCTCGAAGGCTCACATGCCCCCAGGGAGGGCCAGTATTGTGGCGGAGGGCAGCCTGGTCACCAGAGTGAGCTGGGGGCCTTGCTCGCTGCCCTGACACCATCCAGGGCAGTCCCTCTGCCTTAACCGGGGGCAGGGGCTCGGTGCTGGGGGCCCTGGTGCAGTCCCGGGGGTCTTCGGGGCCTCCGCCCCATCCCCCTTTGCTCCTAAAGAAGGATGGCTGGCCTGCCCAGTGGGAGGAGGGTCCCTGTCTGCAGGAGGCTCTGGGTCTCCCTGTTGAGCTTCAAAAAAACCCCAAAACCTTAGAAGAGCATACTTGAAAGTGATAGCCATGTAATGTGGTGTGAATTTAATTTTGATCCCTTTGTTTTACATTAAGATCAGTGTTCATTATCTCTTTAAATGACAAAAAGAAAAAGAGAAAGCTTGCTGAACGAAAAGAAAAATAAAAGAGGACATCTTTTTGAAGGAGAATAAGATAACAGTGGGGACTGTTGTAATCTTCTGTTCATTAAAAAGTCATTTTAGGTTACAGTGGAAAGGGAACAGCTTTTAATTAACTTTTATATGAAATTTATTTCAAATAATCCTTTTCTGTCAAAGGCACAGTTCTTAGTTCTTCACACATGTAGACTGACTGAGGCTTCTCTGACCCCAGGAAGTGGGGCTGTTATTACTCTCTTTGTACTGGTGGGAAAACTGAGGCTCAGGGAGGTTTAGTAACTTCTCCAAGGGCACGAGGCTGGTGAGCGGGAGGACCAGAAGTGTGGGTGTCAGGACCGGGACCCTGAGTCTGTGGGAGATGAGGGCAGTGTCTGCAGAGCCTTGCTGTTGCCACAGCTGTGTTGGCGTCTGCTGGGTAGAGACCAGGGATGCCGTTCATCACCCTGTAGTGCCGAGGATGGTCCCTGCTGCAGAGCGCGCGTGGTCCCCCCCGTTCAGGAGTGCTGGGGCGGGAGCAGGGTTACCCTTCCTAGGGAGTCGGGGCTTCCTCTCTCCTAGCAGGGCTGCCCATGCCCTCTGTGCAGGGATCTGACCCATCACCAGTTGCTGGCCCAGGTCCAGTCTCTCAGCTTCCCTGTGCTGCTGGGGAGACCGGCTCACTGGATGTATGCAGTGCGGGAACTCGGGTGTGTGGCCTTCTGAATTCAAAGTCCACAGTGTCCCTGCGCTGGCCACTGAGAGTTTGCAAAACACCAGAAGCTGGCAGTTCCTAGAAAGACCCTGCTTTTGACGTCAGCATCTTCCAGGAGCATTTACTTGCTCTCTGTATTTATTCTCTTTAAAATAATGGCTCCAGGAGAACTGTTCTGTCATCTGGTTGTCAGTGATTTAGTGTTATTTTCTACTTTGGCCTGAGCATGTGAACTTGGAATGCTTCTTGCAACATGCAGCTTTTTCTGGCATTAAGTAATTTTATGTTTTTCTTGACACTAGGTCACCTGTTGACAGGTGTCTCTAGTCTGTTATTGACTTGTGGTTTGAATTTGAATGATAACTGTATATGCTCTCCTGAGATGAAAGGCTAGTTTGGCATGTGAGTCAGACCAGCTTGTATATTTGATTTGTTCAAAATAGTAGACCTTTTTTAGGGCTTTTAATATGTCAGATACCGTGTCCAACCCTTTTTGTACAGTATCCTCATAACATTCTCCTGAGATCAGTACTAAGATTATTTCCATTTTGCCAATGAGGAAGTTGAGGCTCCAGAGCTAAGTAACTTGACCTTTGGGGCTATCTTACCACTTCTTAATTTCCTCTTGGATGAAATTAGGAATCAGCACTTAAAAAACACTTTGAAGTTAAATCTAGGGACAGAATAAACATTGAAGAAGATTTGCGACCCCATGGACTGTAGCCCACCAGGGTTAGGGCAAGAATACTGGAGTGGGTAGCCTTTCCCTTCTCCAGGGGATCTTCCCAGCCCATGGGTTGACTTGGGTCTCCTGCATTGTAGGAAGATTCTTTACTGTCTGAGCCACCAGGGAAACCGCTAAGATTAAGGTTGTATCTAAATTATATCTACATGTCAGCATTATAAATTAGACTGAAAATTTTCAATCTGTCCTGGAATAAAACTGAAACAAGTACAAAGCAGAATACCTCTCTAGATATTTTGAGATATTCAGCGAGATTTCTAGAGTTGACCCACGACCGGGGTCCCATCTTCTTCCTCTGTCTTCACCACCGGTTCATAAATGCAGGCTTTTACCAGACTGCTGTTGCTTGCAGCCTAGAGAATTTGACCTGTTGCAAATAGCTATCTTATGTTCTGAATATTTCTTGTGAACGTCTGACTTGACTACTCTTGAGAGAGAATTATGTTGGGGAGAGAAAAGTCTAATGCCATGGATTAATTTTAGAAGTGTATTTTAGAATTTTAGAAGTGTAACTTTTCTTATTGTTCTCTGGATTTTTTTTTTTTTTAAACAGTCACACTGAGGAGAAGACCCAGTGGGAACATCCAAAGACTGGGAAAAGAAAGCGAATCGCAGGAGGTTTGTATGTTGTTGTCATAAAGCAGAGAACCTTGTGTGTTAGGCATGGTTCACATGGGGACACAGTCACAGGCAGAGGGTCTGCTGAGGAACTGGACCTTCCCTCTCGGGAGCTTGTAGGATTTGGTAGAAGGAAGTGATGAGAGTTTTGAGTGGAGCGCTGATTTCTTACTGGCCTTAAAAATAAAGTGTTAAAATAACAGGGCTCTTGAACTCACAGTTCATTACGTCTTTCCGTGGTTGCACTGTTTGTAAAAATGTTATTGGTTCCTATCCTGGAATTAAACATACCAGTGTTTGATAGAATTCCATGAAGCTTCTGGTGACTTATAGGTGTTTCTGAGTATGTGTTTCATCCATGGAGTAGAAACATAAGAAGGTCCCTGCGCTCAGGAGGTTGAGGGTCTATTTGAAAAGACAGCATGTACCCGTGGAAGAAAAAATGAAATTGCTCTGTAATAGGAGTCATCACAAGTCAGCATACAAATGGTGCTGGCTGCCTCCTGTAGTGTAGATACATTTTGGGAATTCATTCAAGGGAGAATTCATGTTGATTAGAGCAACAAGTAAGGATTTCATGAAAAGCAGGAGCTGAAGGGAGTGTTGAAGAATGATGAAGAATGAAATAGTCTTAAAAATAGAGTTACCATGTTACCTAGCGGTCCCAGTCCTGAGCACATACCCATATAATACTCTGTTTCGAAAAGATACGTGCACCCCTGTGCTCATTGCAGCAGCATTCACGATAGCCACAACATGGAAGCGACCTGCATGTTCCTCAGCAGATGAATGGACAGAGGTGTGTGTGTGTACAGCAGAATCCTGTTCAGTCATAAACAGAGTGAAATGTCATTTGCAACAGTATGGGTGGACCTAGGGTTTGTCATGCTAAGGAAAGAAGTCAGAAAGAGACAAATAGCACGTGATATCATTTATATGTGGAATCTGAAATATGACACAGGAACAGGACTGTGAAACAGGCTCACAGACATGGAGAAGAGGCTTGTGACTTCCACAGGGAAGCTTGAGAGGAAGAGATACACATTACCGTGTATAAGATAGATGAAAAAGAAGGTCCTACTGTGCAGCATAGGGAACTGTATTCAGTATCCTGTGATTAAACCACAATGGAAAAGAATAGGAAAAAGAATATATATATATATAAAACTTAAGTCACTCTGCTGTACAGTAGAAATTAACACAATATTGTCACTCAAGTATAAATCAATAAGACTAAAAAGAACGAAATAGTCTTACTTTCCAAGCAAGAGACAGAAATGTGGAGTCTGGTTGGGGTAACAGGCCTTCTATACCTGCTGTAGTTGGAACCTGCGACCTGCTGGTCTGGTGGGAGACTGGGACTGGGACTGTGGCTGAAAGGGCGGGGCTTCAGTTCATCCCACCCCTCCCCCAGGCAGACCTGTCTTCCTGTTTTTCAGATTTGCCCTATGGATGGGAACAAGAAACTGATGAGAATGGACAAGTGTTTTTTGTCGAGTAAGTGTCTACAAAGAAACTGTTCTTGGCCTTCTTGCTTTTGTAATAAGTGTATACATTGTAGAAAAATATTATGTAGTATGTAATTGTAATCTTACCAGCAAGAGTAACTACTGTTAACAATTTTTGAATTTTTTTCTTCAATGTTTTCTGTACATATACTTAAAAAAAAGAATATTGGGTGAACTGTTTGGTTAACTGTTTTTTGGCACATAATTCTTGTGAGCATTTTCTCATATCCTTATAAAGTTTTCAAGAAAATGATGTTTATTTTCTTGTATTGTATATTGTATCATTTTGTATAGATATACTATAATATATCAAATTACCTACTGGGCATTGATGCTGTTAAATTTCTGTGATGTGGCATCCGTACAAGCAGACCTTGTCATATTGCACTTCACAGATATTATTATTATTTTTTTTTTTTTTTTACAAATTGAAGATTTGTGGCAACCCTACCCTGAGTGCCTTTTGGCCCCATTTTTCCAATAACATTTGCTCAGTTAGTGTCTTTGTCACATTTTGGTGATTTTTGCACTATTTCAAACCCTCCAGTGGCATAAAGGTTATGACTCACTGAAGACTAAGATGATGGTTAGTATTTTTTAGCAATAAAGTATTTGTTAATTAAGGAATGTATGTTTTTTTAGACACGATGCCATTGCACATTTAGTAGACTGTAGTGTAAACGTAACTTTCACATGCACTGGAAACCACAAAATTTGTATGACTCAGTTTATTGCATGCAACATTCATTTTGTTCCATTGGTCTGGAACTGACCCCACTATGCAACATCTGCAAGGTGTGCCCATAATTATAATGTTTTGAGCATCCTTGTCTGTAACACTATCTTCAGAATAAATTACAATAACAAACAGCAACAGTAACCATGTGTCTAGCACCTAGCATGATCCAGGTGTGTTTCTAATTACCTTATACCTGTGGTGTTAACTCATTCAGTTCCCAAAATGCTCTAAGGCAGGCCAGCACTCAGCTGCCTGGCCAGTCATCGCCCCGCTCTGATCCTGTTAGAGTGCTGATAGACTTAGCAGCAGTTCCCTGTGGGAGGAGCCCAGGCTCGTTTCCATGGTGTGAGGACTTCCGCCATAGGTTATTTCTGGTTACCGGGATGGAGCCGCTGAGGGCCTGGGAGAGGGATGCATGTTTGTGAGCCAGGGTGACCGAGTCTCTGGGGAGCTCTGTCGTCTGCATGGCTGGAGTCAGAATGTTTACCTGGCAACTGTGGTTAAAAGTCAAATGGAAGTTGGATTATTCTCGGGTCTTAGTGTTTATGGGGTGAAGAGTATAGATTTTTAATCTATTTAGTTTTACACACACATACACATTACAAGTACATTTTTTCAACCTACATATATATTTTTTTGCTGCACTGCAAGGCTTTTGGGATCTTAGTTTCCAGACCAGGGATCAAAACCCAGGCCAGGGCAGTGAAAGCCCCGGGTCCTAGCCACTGGGCCGCCAGGGAACTCCCACAAATACATTTTCAGTCGTGAAATCTTTCTTTCTGGAGAGTTCGTCATAGCTTTCAAGATACGTTGAGGCGTACCTCGAATCCCAAGGTTACATTTAAAATGTGTAAAGCAAATCCTATTCAGTGGGAGCAACCAGTCTTTCTGTATGAATAGGATGTACCAGTGTGTTTTAATACATCATTTACAGTATCGATATATTTAATTGTTGTTTCTACAAGATTTAGATCCGCTCCAAATCAAAATTAGAATGTGCGGGTATAGTCTTAAAATGAAAATGTTTAGAAATTTTAGTAGTTGACCACTTTGATATTTATTGTTGCAACTTTGAGTTTCCTACTCAGAATCTTCTTCAGTTCAGTCGCTCAGTCGTGTCTGACTCTTTGCGACCCCGTGAATCTCAGCACGCCAGGCCTCCCTGTCCATCACCAACTCCTGGAGTTCACTCAAACTCATGTTCATCGAGTCGGTGATGCCACCCAGCCATCCCATCCTCTGTCGTCCCCTTTTCCTCCTGTTCCTAATCCCTCCCAGTATCAGGGTCTTCTCCAATGAGTCAGCTCTTCGCATGAGGTGGCCAAAGTGCTTAGGTCCTTGAATATAAAAGATTTAACTGAAATCTGCCGACAAGAGTGACCGGCAGATCTTATAGCCACGTTTGCATGACTTAATTAAAGAGCCCCAAGCCTGCTATGTTTTTGAGACCCAAGGATACAAGGCAGCACTTATTGTACATTACAACCTCTTTTACAGGCAGTTCCAAAGAAAAAGCTTGGATGCCTATCTTCCTAGGCAGGACAGTAATCCTGGAGCCCAGGACATAGATCAAACAGACCCCAGGTCTCTCCAGGGTTAAGAAAGAGCCTTTCTAGTCCTGAAAATGGAGTTGCCTCGCCTGCACCGGAGGACGGTCCTGTGGTCGTCAGCGCCCCCCCCCACTGCTGTGCGCTCACTGCCTTCTCCTCTCCTCTCCAGCCACATAAACAGAAGAACCACCTACCTGGACCCCAGACTGGCGTTCACCGTGGACGACAACCCCACGAAGCCGACCGCCAGGCAGAGATATGACGGCAGCACCACGGCCATGGAGATCCTCCAGGGCAGAGACCTCAGCGGCAAAGTGGTCGTGGTGACGGGGGCGAACTCGGGGATCGGTGGGTGTCAGCCGGCAGCCGTGATGGTTGCTGCTGTTCTGTCGCGTGCACGATGAGATCCACTCTAGCCGGGGCAAGTTTTGTTCAGTGATTCTCTGATTTAAAAGATACTTGTAGGCTCTTCATCCTTCGGGTCATTAAAGTCCCGGGTGCTTTTTTGGTCCCGGCGTTTCTGCGGAAGGAAGGCTGCGGAGGGGCTGACCCTGGATTCTCCAAATGCTGCAGTCATAGGAGACAGTGGTTATTTTGGCTCTTAAGAGAGGCGGCAGGCTCCGTTTGGTATTTTCTGACCTGGTCTGCGTGCTGTGCAGACACAGTGCAGTCACCTGGTCCCTTGAGCCTGACGTTGGTTGGTAGCGGGCTCTCGGAAGCTGCAGTGTGTGGTGCTTGTGGGACAGGGCACAGCGGGTGGCCGCTGGTCGCCGAGAACATCCCTTTCCTTGGAGGCAGGATCTTGTTTCTCTGCAGAGCAGCAGAATCAGTCCTTGTCTTGACCTCTCGGTGGCATGTGTTGCCCCACGGTGACCGTCACGAGGGCAGGCCTCCCGGGGATGTCACAGGCTGGAAGAGAAACCGCGGCCGCGCAGATGGCCCCGCCGTCACTCCCCACGTGATCGCGTCTCACTTGGGTCTGGTGACGTGAGCGTCTGAGTCTGTAGGAGCTGCTGCCCCGAGTGAGGACGCGCAGCCTCAGGTTAGCTTACAGGAGCAGGACCGGGAACTGTGCTCAGCTGTCTTCTGGCAAGCTCTCTGTCCTTTGACCCTGCGCAGCACCGGCCCCCTTCCTGCCCTGCCTCCTCCCAGCCGCCTCTGACCAGCTCTGGGTCCTCAGCCTTCTGTGCCTCTCCAGGTCTTCTTTCTCCAGCTTCCATAAGTTTTGGTGACCCCTTCTTGAACTCGCAGAAACATTTCCTGGTATCATCAGGGCAAGTCCAGGTGGTGACGTTTTCTTAGAGCTCCAGTTGTTTCAGAGTGCAGGGTCAAAAATCTAACAAGCTACAGTCCCAGAGCAGAACTTTTTTTTTTTCTTTTGAAATAAGACTGGACATCCTCCTTTAATTTATAGTTTTATTTATTCGTTCAATTGCTTTCTGGTTGCCCTGGGTCTTTGCTGCTGCATGCGCGCAGGCTGTCTCTGGCTGTGATGACCAGGGGCCGCGCTTCCTTGCGGTGTGCAGGCCTCTCGCGGCAGCGCTTCTTGTCGTGGAGCACCGGCTCTGTGGCGTGGGGGCGTCAGGAGTTTCGTGTGGGCTCAGTTACTCTATGGCAGGTGGGGTCTTCCCGGACCAGGGATCAAGTAGGTGTTCCCTGCGTTCCGAGGCCAGCTCTTAACCAGGAACGCCTCAGAGCAGCACTTTTGACTGTCACATGTCTATTAAGACAAAGAAGCAAATGGAAACTTTTTTTTTTAATTGAAAGGGACTTATTTAAAAATCAACTCTCAGACCTCATCTTGGACTGAGAATGTGTTCAGTCCAATTTTCTGAATCGCATTGGCATCAATTCTACATATTTGTCATCAATAGAAAAACTGATGATGCTATATTAAAAATAATTGCTAGATCCTCAGTTATCCAAATAACACTGTGTCGTGTTGATTGTGTTGACCACTCTTTGTGAGGGTGTGGACTAAGATAGCATAGAATAATTAAGGAAAAATATAAGGACTTAAGTCAAATCTGTGTAACACTCAGTTACCCGGAGAAGTAACCAAAAGATCTCACTCCCTTAATCTTGTGGCTGGACAGTTTTTCCCTCCGTTAGTAAGGCGTGACTCCTGATGGTCTGTGTGTTGGCTCTGTCTGACACGTGGCACACCTTCGCGTCTGGGGGAAGCCCTGCTGACAGTCTGCCACAGGAGGCTTATGACGTGGCTGTTGTTAGTTACTTGCTAGGTCGTTTCCGGCTCTTCTGAGACCCCATGGACTGTAGCCTGCTAGGATCCTCTGTCCGTAGGATTTCCCAGGCAAGAATACTAGAGTGGACCCTTCCCCTGAAGTTTCCTTCTTCAGGGCATCTTCCCGACCCAGGGATCGAACCCACGTCTCCTGCTTGGCAGGCAGATTCTTTACCACTGAGCCACCTGGGAAGCCGTAGTACGGGACCAAAGGGGTTGGTCCGGAATGTATGGAGAGCTCCGTGCGGTGGGGTATCGAATCGTGGTCGGAAGGGAGGAGGAGGTTCTGGAGCGTGGGGAAGAAGCGTGCTGCTGGTCAGAGCAGACCTTGGGCCTCTCGGAGGGGACTCTGGCTCTTCACAGCTCTGACTTTTCCCTGTCCCTGTTCTTGAGTTGTCTTGTGAGCCCAGCACAGGGGTCCCTGTGGTCCAGTAGCACGGGGTGGCGAGTGGTTGCGCTCAGGTTGGGAGGGTCTCAGGGCACCATGCTGCCCCCCTGTCCCCAGCTCTGACCTCAGTTGCCTTCAGCTCTGCCTCCTCACCCTGCGGCCCCTCCACCCTTGAGAAGCCCAAGTCTGGGGGAGTTCCTGAGATTTGTTTTCTTAATTTTGTGAAATAATATTGGACCGAAGATCCTTGCAAGTAACTGTCACACTGCGGCCCCGCCAGCAGGCTTAAGAGAGAAGAGCTGAAGGCAGGCCTGTGGCTTTCCAGTCGTCTCCAAGGCGGCGTTGTTACCCTGTGCCGCGGCCATGCAGTGTCCCTGCCCTGGGAGGTGGTGCCTTCCAGGGGGAGCCCTCCCTTCTCCTGAACTGTGAAACACGCCAGTTTAGACCTTGCCATCACCTCTGTTTCTGTGCCTTCACACGGAACCATGGAGAGAGCGCGACCTGGGCGTCTCTGTTTCCAGCCCTCCCGGGCACTCAGGACTCACCTTCTGTGGGAGCTTGGCTGGTGCTGGCCTGCCCTTGGCCTTGTCACTCAGTGGGGCCCGTGACCCACTCGGGAACTGCCCAGTCTTCAGCCTCTTGGAGGTCTGTGCTCTTGGGAGCAGAGGTGGCTGTCACAAAACATACCAGCCTTTATTTTGAGAGTGGTGACTCCACAGCTGATCAGGTTTACAAAGGTTGGTTTACAGATTCGGTGTTTTCCTGTGATGGTTTGGTTGAATTTCTGACGGGACACTGCTCTCTTGGACTTGTCCTCTGGGGACCCAAGCCCCTGGTCATAGGAAGGTGATGATAGCATCCCACGTGTCTCCTGGGGACGCCCCACCAGTGCCCTCTCCCCCGGCTCTAGGGAGCTGCAAGCCTTGGGACGTCACGTCCTCTGGAACTCGCCTTCTCCTCCCCTCGAGCTCTGTCTGAGCACGATCTGCACCCGGAGGCCTTTGTAGATGGAGCGCTGTGGCTGTGGACTGCTCTCTGGAGCTCAGCACCTCAGTGTCCGGGCCAGTGCCCCGTGCACCAGAGCTGCTGCTCACAGACCCTGCGGCCGGAGCCTGGTTCTGCCCGCTGACCCGGAGAGACGAGGCGGGAGGTCGTTTCTGTTTGTGCTCCGTCTAGTGCCGGCCAGGAAGGGGCAGGCGTCCGTAGCTCCCTGGAGTCCGTGGTGCGACGGAACCGATCTGGTAAAAGAAATGAATGGAAGTGGCGTCAGCGCGGTGATGGTTAAACGCAGACGGCGTCTCCCGCCACGTCCTGGGAGAGGGGGTTTCAGAGACTGGGGGTCTCCCATTGTGGAAGGTCCCGTAGCTGCTTCTCGGGACTCGGGCCTTTTGGTCGAGCTGGTTGCTGGCCCCTGCCTGTCAGTAGCTCAGTGCACACCGCTGCCTTCTCGCACCTGAGGGCCGCCCGTGCTCCTCAAACGCCAGACTCTTCCAGCGCGGGGCTGCCTGAACGCCTGCGCCTGGGGCTGTGCCTGCCCTGCGCGCTGTCTCTTGTGAGCAGGCACGTTGGATGCCGTCATGTGGATGGTTGCAGGGGCAGAGCTATCGTCACGGCACCTAAGGAGAGAGTTCCAGCTTCTGCCACAGCCACTGGAGAACTGTTAACGAGGGTGTGCGTGCAGCTTCACTGTTTTCAGTCTGCTGTGCACTGGCGATGATGAGGAAACTTTCTTCCCGACTTCCAGCTTTTTAAAGCTTTGTTTCGTTTTGGCTGTACTGGTTCTTGATTGCTCTGCGGGCTTTGCCCTAGCTGCGGTGCACGGCTCCTCATTGTGGTGGCTTCTCTTGTCGCAGAACATGGGCTCTAGACCCCTGGGCCCAGCCGTTGTGGCTTTGGGGCTCTGGAGCACAGGCTGAGAGCTGTGTCCACAGGCTTCGTTGCTCCACGGTGCGTGGGGTCTTCCCGGACCAGGAATCGAGTCTTTGTCTCCTGCTCTGGCAGGCGGATTCTTTACCCCTGAGCCACCAGGGAAAGTCCCCAACTTCCAGTCTTAAAACCAGCAGTGGTTACAATTTGATTTTTAAATCCCTTTTGGAGTGTAGTCAGGGTGAAACATTTCTTTGACCTTGATAACGCTGGGCTGTCTCAAATGTTGTGACTTGAGATCTGGAATAGCTTGGCCTGCTTTTGATTTTTGAGTCAGAGGACCCATTAACAAGAACAAAACTGTTTTTTCCCCCTGAACAAATAGAAGCTGGCCACCTCAGTATATGCCAGTAAAATGTATTTTAGGACCGACACGTCCATTTTCTATTGATGTTTATGTTATATATGATAAATCTCCTTAAGGTTTATTACAAGAATTCTAATAATGTGTGTATATGTGTGTGCATACTTATATACCAAAATTTATATCCTTTGAGATATGAAAGAAAAGATGTATGTTCACACTATCAAAGTCAACCCCAAATTTGTTGTTGAAACAAAATGGAGGTATCAGATTTCCAGCCTGGAATCACAGAGTGCTGGAGTTGAATGTTGAAACTGGTTGTTTTGGTTAGGGAGCCTGTGTTTTAGAGCTTGGGGTCCTGTTCCAAAATCATGTGTTGAAATCCCAGTGTGAAGTGTACTCACTGTATTCTCTTATCCTACAAATCATCACCACGATGAATTCATCTCTGGCGTAAATTCTGCCAGTTGTACGGTGATACTAGA